CTACTAGGTGGATAGTAGAAGTGGAATCTAAGATAGTTTAGTAATTGTGACAATGGTCACGGGAAGGGCATATCCCGCAAGAGGAAATGTGTTTGTGTAATGCATGGATATGTATAATTGATGATGCAAGTGTACAGGAAATTGAAGCTGAAAAATGAAGTTGAAGTCACTGTTACCAGAATATATTTTTGTAATATTTGGCTACTGTACATGTGACTGAATTGAGAATGACAAATTTAGACAATATGACAAAGTGTAATGTGACCTTGAAATTACCTTAACCTTACCTTGAAAGATCTTGTCAATATGAGACCTTGAGATTACCCTGACCTTGAGATCTTGGGGAAGTGTTTTACGCCCTCCCACCCTCACTGTTCAGTATCACATATATGAAAGCAATAGTATAAAAAACGTTGGCCCATTCAGTTAATTGTCAAACACAACGTGTATGAGAAAGCCTAGCTTGTAACCGATACAGTTGTATACTGGGATATGGAAAGGTAAACAAATCCGAAAAAAATCACCAAGATGAACAATGAATGAACAAATTGAGAGAGGACCAAAGTAATGTGGCAGGCTGTTTCAGAGAAGTTGAATATGTGCAAACAATGGACTAATGCGGTGGACATAACAGTCTGAGTGGAATCTATGTCATCAACATTCATGCCAAATTTTAAAAACAATCTGACAAGCGCGTGTAAAAACATTTTAAACCATAAATGACAAAATATTTTCTAAAATAAAGGTTTAAATGCGATGTCATGAAGTGCTTCTGATCAAAATAAATCTGATGAAAAAACGTGACATATACATTTAAGGACAAGCCCATATAAATGCGCCATGTATGGCACAGTCTCAGTTAGTTATCAATTTTAAGATAGATGGTTTTGTTTATAGTGATATAGTTCAAACATAAACATGTCAGAGATATAAATCCAGAAGCTGATGCTTGATTGTGACGATTTGTTAACATTAAAATGATTGACATTTTGTATCTGATCGTTAACGAGTACTTGATAGATAATGCTCTGGAACAGCATTAATTAAAAACAAAATGACAACCGTTCGGCCATTGTGAATACATCAATGTATCTATAACATGTATACTGAATACATAACATTTGAACATAATCAGTAAAATTATGCCAGAGATAAGCACATTCATTCAAACAAAATGTCAGTCAGCCATTTTAAATTCCATTTAAAAAATAAAATGACATGCACCAAAAGCTCATAATTTCCAACGTATGTACAAAGTTTGAACAAAAACCATCAATAAATGCTTGATTTTGATGACTTTTAGGATTAAATCGACACATTCTTACTTAACATGAACATACAATGTTGAAAAAGATTGACTAATACTTGTGTTAAAATTGTGGAATACGTTATATGCATTATTACAAGCTACTCCAATATTTCATACTTAGACAAGAGTTTAAGAGCAACGTTTAAATTCATTGGGATACAACTCTGGGAATCTACATACAAATAAAAAAGCAATCACACTATTAGAAACAAATGATTGTGAAAACAGAGCCGCATTTAACACAAAACCACTGGTAAGTGTACCATTAAAGAGTATAACCATGTACAAACTTTTTCTTCAAGGAACATGGCGACCAATTAACTTTTTTAAAAGGTACCATTATACGGGAAAATACCCTCGATGCATCCATAAGACTTATATGTCATATACTACTATAATATTCATTAATTTCTTTAACATAAATACACATATCAGTCGAATGTTTAGCCTTAAAACCAAATTGAGTCAGTTGTAGTAATATAGACCTCTAATTGTTTCAAACAAATCAATTCCTCAACTTTGACAAAATAGTGGCAATAGCAATCGGCCAATAACCATCTTTCGAGGGAATGTCACCAGAACTGTCTTTTACAATAGACACAATACTAATATCCAGCGACTGTGTTGGTAAATAGCAGTGCACAACCATAGATGTCAAACACAAGAAATTTGCAATCTCTCACCAGGGTATTTTATATGTTCTGGAGTATATGATAAGATACAGGTTTCAAGCTCTTACGTGGCACGCGTACAATGTACCGGGTTGCAATTAATACAAATAAACTGCAAATTTCCCCAGTGATATAAAACCAAAAAAACTTAAAGAGTGTAATAATCAATATTGAAGACGCATCTGAACATACAAAAAGTCAACAAACGTATATATTTTGACAGTTGGAAGGATTATTTTTAGAAATCATTTAAGGAATTTAAATAGGCGAACATCTGGAGGGGAATTACTATGCTATAATTACCATAAAGCCAGTACAGATGACTATAACTAGCTGTGGGTCCATAGCTCTGCTTGTGTTGATATGATGGTATATTAAACGTACGTGATATTTGTATAGCATTGTTTACACAGTAGAGCTAAGGTGACAGCAATAGAGTACCTTTCATGTTGACGTCGCAATAATACTATTTCGCAAATAAACGTTTAAAAATCATGCAGTATCCTGTGATACACGACTCCCAACCAAGGTCGATAGATTGTTATTTATTAAATACTCACCACAGTAACTATTGAGACTTAATTATTCGAAATAAAGCCGATTCACCAGAGCATTCTTGGACGGCCACACTAAAATGCAGTATTTCGCCATCTTACTCTCACACCTTATCAAGTAATATGATAAAATACGTTTTGAAGCTGCAACAGTGATATACTTTGTTAAATAATTTTAGTACGAATCATGGTTTTTGACTAAACCCGGAGAACAGGGTCGCAGCGCCC